GGGGGGGGGGGGGGGGGGAGGACGGAAAGGAAACGTGGGCCACCTTGCGGACCACTTGCCCGCCGCAAGTGGAGGAAACCGTCGACAAGAAGAGCTGCCGGTATTATGCACATGCATCGCGACAAAAAGCGAAACAAGAAGGTAGGACAAGCTTCGCCGCACACAGGCACACCATACTTAAAGAAGACACGGGGAGAAAGAGAGACCTTTTGGTTGTCTCCTCCTGCTACTGCATGTACCACCGACGTAACCATGCCACAAGACCTCCGAGAACGCCCGAAGAGGTGGTACATATCTACCCAGTGCTTCACGAGTCGTGCCGAGAGAAAAACACGTCCCCTTATCGTGCTGCAAACCCACACGACGAAAAACGCACACCAGCCACACCGCAGGTAACACAAGACGTCACACCCCATGGACCGATATTCATAGCTCGACTGCTCCACGACGAAGAGGCTGCATGATCCAAAGGATGTGCTGAGGGAAAGCTCTCGACGAGACTGTCCCAACGCCGCCGCAATCGGCACCGCCGCTCTTTCTGCGGCGGAGACATCAAGCTTTGATAATCAGACCAGGGGGTGTCTTGTGTCACGTACGGGATTTTCTTAACAAAGTACAGTACATACTTCGTACTTCAGAATTTAACCATTCACCTCGTACGCCCCGTAGTCACCCTCCGGCAGAACGAAGCAGTTCGTTTGGCCGTACATGGTCTCGGGTCTCAGGGTTGCGGGTACGAGGAAGACATCCCTCCCCTCAAGGGCCGCGAGCTTACCCTGCGATGAGGAGGGAGGGAGAGGGATCAAGCACAATACACCTGTCGTCGGAACGCGGGTAATGATGTTGCGCACAGCCACACTGAAGCAGCTAGGCCTCGGACATCACCCTCCTCCTGACGTACACAAACCGTTGTCGCCAACACATGACATACCACGAAGGAGCAACGTGTCACTTTCATGGCCAACAGGGCCAAAACACTGTGCACCCGCATCCGTTGCTGCGTTTAGACGCGGACCGATGTAGCAGAGCGATTTGCAAGAATAACCACCCCCGCTCGTTGTATGTTCAGCAGCGGTCGGAGTGCACTCTGGACCCGCAACGGGCCATCCATTGTTTCGTCTCGGCCTACTTGTGAACATGGCAAAGAACGTGGTCGATTGGCGAGCATACAATACCTCACAAGGTCAAGGTTGCATTCGTCTGACACAAAGAAATACAGTCGTGTCAAATCGTCTCCACAGCGACCAGGGGAAGCTGCAACTGGGCCTGCGCCGTCCCCCGTTGACAAGCCTCGCACCCCGGGCGTGAAAGACCCCTTTGCAGCTTCCCCTCGTCGCTGTGGAGATGTTTGCCCGTGGAGAGCCAGCCGCCCATGCCCAGGTGGGGAGCCAGCCAACTACAATGCCACCACACATGAAGAGGCACGCGTGTTTCTTTGGCTTCTTCTCGTTGTTTCTAACTCCCCCCTAGTGCGACCCTCCCTGGCTTTCTGGACAATACCGGAGGCAGTGAAAACGCTCTTCTCCCCTAGACCGCTCATACGAACATTATGCAAGTACGTTTCCCTGACAAAAGAAAAAGCTCCTCAATAATTTGGGAATATATGTTCCCGTCCTCTCTTAGCTTTACCCTGAGCTTGATTAGCGTGTACTCCCGTATGGGAGCCATTGCGTCCCAAAAACTTGAAACAAAAACGAAAACAAAACACGTCCATGTGTATTTTGGTCCACCTATAGTATTCTTGTCCTTTCTGTTCTCGTCCTACCTTCAGCTCGAGAACTCGGAGCTTGATGAGCGTGTACTCCTGCGGCCCCACGCCCTCCCCCGAAGCTCGGTCGTGATCGGCGCACACCTGGCCGTCCAGTACGCAGTACACGTTCGCCCTCTTGCCGAACTTCACCTTG